GCATTTTATATATATATATATATTAAAAAAGAAACAACCAAAAAACCTTAAGAACATTGGGAACAAAAGACAAGTCTGTAGCTTACATCACTCTGAAGTGATTTTTCTGACAGGTGTCCATGCTTTCCCTAAACTTGTATTTTCTTGACATGCAGGTTGAAATTTCACAAACCTCTTCTTTATACACACACTTGACACTCCCAGAAAGTGAAGACTGGTGTTCCTTTTTCTTTCCTGGGTTAAATTGCTTGTCATACTCTCCATGTTTTTATACAAAAGTGCCAGGCCAGGACACAATTGTGAGAGTAATTTTTCCTTTCAGTTCTTTGAGCATCCTTGCCAAGCAGGCATGCATCATTCCTGATGTGTTCTTGCCGTTGACAGCAAGGAGGATGTCACCACATCTGAAAAACCAAAGGCAATTACCAGAGAATAATTAGATGAGGTGACTTCTTCTCTTGAACATTTCAAATGCCAAAGCAGGTCCTTGAGCTGGGAGGAAGGGGTAGAAATTAGTATTACTATTGCTTCTCTAGCTAACCACTGTTTATGAATAATGGAAGAAAGCAGGTGAAAATGCTTCACTTGTGTTTTTTTAGACATATTTGAAAGAAAATAGAATATAATTCTTTCAGGTAAGAATAATCTGTGTTCTGAACAAACTATGTTTTACAACTTCTTAACTGATTTAAGTTCTTTCCATGATTCTCTGTTTACTCTCTTAAATTTTATTTTGTGTTTGCAGAGAAGGTTTTTGCTTGGTTGGTTGGGGTTTTTTTGAGCTGGGGACATGGGAGAGCTTCTCCATGCTGGCATGCTTTGTTCTACCCCAGACATCAAACTGCCATGCTTATTCATACACTAGTGATTGCTAGACATCTGAAAATACTATAGTATGAAGGCAAATCTATTAAATTTCAGGACATTTGTGTCCTATTTCCAGATCTGTCAGAGTTAGTTCTGTATCAGTGAGTCCTTTCCCCCGCCCCACATACTGTCTTCATGAAAACTTGTTTTAAAAAAAACCTACACAAATTAACTAGATGAAAGACTTAATTAAATGTTCCTTTTTGTTAGATAGTTATCGTTACCTAATTCTGCCATCATTGTATGCTGGTGTTCCCACAACAATGGACTTGATAAAGAATGGTTTGTTCCCAGTATGTTCTTCATAACCTCCTACGATGCTGAAGCCAAGGCTTCCAGATGTATTTCTTCTTAGTACGATGTCCTTGCAGCTGTACAAATACCTGAAACAAACCAGTCTAATTAAATGCCTTATGGTTAACTTTAGATCCTGATGAATCATTAATGATGAATCTGCCTCTTCATACACCCGTAGAGTGTTTTGAAGACATAAAGTAGCACCAAAGTTCCACTGCAGTAGACAACTACACTTCCCTTCTGTTTTTTATAGTGCTGGTTACCACAAGCAGTTATCCTAAAAGTAAAATTACTAGGGACTCTTGCAGTTAAAATATTAAATAAATTGTTTCATAGGGTAAGAATTAATGCAAATGATCTAGTTGCAACTGAAAGTGATGGACAAAAACACTTAACTGAGGCTGGATTTAATATTTGTAAACCATCATTCCAGAGGCTATTTAATTAATATCTACCTTGTACAGTCCAGTGACTGACTTTATCTTTTGGATAAGAGCCTGTATGCGATTAACAGTGTCAAAAGCAGTCAGGCACTTATTACTACAGTGGATGTCAAAGCTAAAAAATTTCAAGGCCAATGAAATGGGCCAGAATTCAAAACAATCACAGAGATGACACAAAGAAGAGTAGCAGTGGAAGCAGGGATCCTGAGTTTTTCTTGTCGAGTAACGTAAGTTGCAGCATGGAAGACAAGAGAAGCTTATCTGTGTCAATCAGTGCTTTGGCGTACTTAGACTGCTGTCAAGAAGATAGCTTAATCTCACTATAAAGATTTGCACAGTATTTTATGGTAAGAGAGCTGAAATCTGCCTCTTCCTCTGTCTTAAATTTATTTTATGATTAAGTTATGCTGAATCAAAGCTTGGCTGAAATGAAGACCAGGGGAAAGCGAGAGTAGTAAGGTTATTACTCTTAAACGTTGCCTGTTGTTCTGAGCACATTAATAACCTGAATACCTGCTTTGTTTCTTTTTTTAAACCAAGCAGGAAAGAACAAGATTAATTTCATTAGTTACAGAGCAACCAAAATTTCTGTGCTTAGTACTTAACCCACTCATCATTATCAGTGTACCCAGGAACGACTGAAGAACCTGAAAATCCTTTTGCTGTTCCAAATCTGAAATGATAGGCTGGTCTACAGGAAGCGACTGCTAGCAGCTCTATTCAGAGACTCTCCAGGTTTCTAAGAAACAGCTGACACTTCTATAGAAAGATAACTTTATCTTAAAGACCAATGCTTCTAGCTTTTTTAAACTTATTTCTCAAATAATGCTTTTGCTGTGTTTCACAGTAGGATTTTATAGTAATAGTAGATTAGTCCCTCAGGACCTACAAATATTCACCTGCTGCCAGGATGGTAGGTATATAATATTTGCACAAGAATTCACTGGCTCCTAATGTAAGAAACAGGTGACATTTGGTTCTTTCCTCAGCAGCCAGGCATTATTACTTCACCATCTGTGGACTTCTTCAATGTGCAAAATCACTTAAACCCTCTCTGTCTGATGGTACTTATCAAGGTCTTGACCAAGCCCTGCCAGGATTCAGCCGATAGTGCTGTTATCTAGTGTTGGTTTTGGGGGGCAGGGGTCTCTGCTGCCCAGCACTGTGCTTGCTGCCTTAAGGAGGACATCACTGAAATTGAAAGGTGATCAGCTAAATCCTAATGCCTTAGAAAAGAAATAGCCAAGCAGGTAAAGGCTTGAAGGGAAATGCAGTGAAGACAAGACTTACGTGTATCCTGTACTTAAAGCCTGGAAGGTTATAAGCTACACGATCTCCGTCAGTCCAGAAAGCAGAAATACATACTTGTCAAAGCGTACGCTAAATTTAAGTAAAATAGCCACAGCTTACTAGCATTAGGATTGTTCTCTTTGCCAGAAGAGAGGAAACACATGGAAAGCAAGTAGCAGCAGAGGGAAACTGCTCTGTCCTGACTCCAATCCCTTGGGCCCCCTGTTACCTCACCGAGGGGACGAGGTGTAACCTGCTGTGACAAAGCAGTGGAGACCAGGAAGGCAGCAGAAGGAGTGCTGGAATGAAGCTGAGCATTTGAAAGGGGGATAAAAGTTTTGGGGTTTTTTCCCTGAAGCGTTTACATGTTTGTCATCTTTGGTTCCCAATACCCAATTGTGTAATTAAGTGTTTTAAGTTAAATTCTCCAAGCCGAGTCTGTTTTGCCAACAACAGCGATTGTTGAGTGATTTCCTTGTCTTCACTTTGACCCATGAGTTTTCTCACTCTCGTTCTTCCTGTTTTCTCTTGTCCCGCTGGGGGTGTTGAGTTCTGCAGGTGCTTAAGCTGGGTCCAACCCGTCACCCTGGCCATAGCTAGAGATTGACTCTTGACACAAAAGGAGCGGCTAGGTGGTGTTTACATCTTTAAATGGGTGCTTCCTTATCTCCATCCTATGGGATAGAGGGTATAAACATGGCAGTGTACCATCCCTCAGCTATGCATTAATGCTCACAGAAATGGGAAAAGGACGCTGGGAGGCAGGCAAATCTGAGCCAGGTATAATGCCCTTACTGCTTGCTCCAGGTAGTTTAGTACGTAAGCAGAGATGCCTGCTCTGCCTGAGCAAAGAGCAGCCTGAAGGGAGTTAGTTCATTTGGGTCTGTTTACAGCTGTGTAGTAATAAAGACAAGCTAGAAAGCACCATAGAAAATGAAATAAGTACTTGAGTCATCCAAAGATGCTTAGTGTGTTTGACTAGATTACTTCTCTGGGGTGACGAAAGCCCCAGTCTCTGTGTTTTGATCCAGTTAAACTGTCATAACCCACTAAACTGCAACCGGTCCAAGGAGAACCATCTTCTGCCTCGGAAGAGAGCGGCACTCAAGTCTTCTGCCTTGATCTGTAAATGCTGCAGTGGTCAGAAAGCTGAGGACAAGGAGTAATTTATGTGTGAACTTGCCTCAGATTCAAGGCTTGAGGATAAGCAGTGTCTAGACACATGGTCCTATCATAAGAAATACTACAACTGCACATCAGTTATTGATGCAAGAGGAATTTAAAAGTGCCTGTTTTCAAGTATTAAATGTACAGTTTTCCCTGCTGCTTTTCACAAAGCATGAGCAGCCTTGTGCTCTGGGAATCAAAACCAACCTGACTTCAGGAGGACTTCAGCAATAGCAGGTATGAAAAGCATGACCCCCATCCCCCTGCCCCGTTACAGTAAATGACTGGCAGTGGGGTACAGTAATATTTGAGAATTACTCCCATCAGAGCCTCACAGCCTGGATGGAGTTAATTTGGGGGAGTTTCTGTCCTAGTTCCATGTTTTACATCCAGTTCTACCCCTGCTTTGCAGAATGACTTTGGCCACCTCCTATCTTTCTCATCTCACTTTGCAGATGAAGAAAAGCACTCATGTGAAGTACTAACGTTTGTAAATGTTATGACGGGATGATCTGTAAAGTATTTTTAAGTGCTAGCTGAGGGAAGGAAATGTGAGGACAGCAAAGAAAGGAGAGCAGGAAAACAAGCAAGAGTAGAAGAAACATCACGGGGCTGAGGAAACCCTTTTCACCAGCTGCTCCACATTATTTTCTTTATGCATGCTTCACAACAACATTTCCCTCCAACAATAAAGGAGACCTGTCTTCCTCAACAAGAAACAATTAAATTAGCTACCCTGAAATAAGTCTTCCTTAAGGTCCTGCATCACTGTTTCCTCCCGACACCCAACCCGCAGCCCCTCCGCACACATGTGGGCCAAGTTTTGACAGATGTCAGATGCACATGTGCATCTATTTTATAACTGCCACATATTGGATTGTACTACAGAAAGAACAGAGGAGTTGTTTATGTACGATCAAGCCATATAAAAGTTATTTGGGCCAATTTTAAGATCTCACAAGCAAAGGGCCGAAATTTAAGTGCAATCCACAAATGCTAAATTATGCAAGACAGCTTTTCCAAGGCTTTGAGCTTTGGAGCAAGGAGTCAGATAACCTGATTCTGCTGCTACTGACTTCCACCAGAAAAATATTGTCATTACCTAATTCTCAATATTTGCGCCTCTTGTTCGTGCCCATCACTGTATTGTGTATGCAGTCCTTGGGGAAGGGGCAAGTTCTGTGCTAACACAGAGAACTAGGCATTTGCAGTACACCAGCCTCAAAAGTGAGGAAGACACACTTTGTCATGTAGCTATTACTAATGATTGCCTGTTTTCTTCATAAGTCATGGACAGAGGTCTGTAGGAATGCTCTAGTGTTTAGCTCAACTCAGCACATTTTATAGGACGATCCTTCACAGGATTTTCATGAAATGTTCATGTTTTTTGAACATGGAAGGAAAGACCCTCCTCTCTTGGTTTCCTGAGACCAACTGTCCTGCTCTGAGCCATCATGTCAGGCTGCCTCTGCACTCCCTGCCTTGCTTGCTGTGAGCAGATACGCTGCATTGCTGTGACTTATCCAGAGCCACATCTTTCCCTTCTCAACGGAATTTAAAGAATCCAGCATCCAGCCACCTCTTTTTTTTTTAATCGTGCTTAGTCTACCAGTGTTACCACCTTTTCTATTTGTTCAGTTTTCCTTATGTAGGTGTTTCCCATCCGGCCCATCTTCCAAGACACCTTGCATGATCCTGTATAGTTATGATCTTGACATTTCTACTTTTCCATCAGCAGTATCAAATGTTCTTAGATTTACTTGCACACCTTGGAGCAGTCCCTCTGGAAAATTGTATTTACTAAAGTCATCACAGTTTTAATTAAGGTAGGTGAATCCTCTCCATCTTGCCTCATAGCTGCACATCAGGTACCTTTACCAAGATGGACCTGTCAGATGTGTATTTGGACAGAGAATAATATTCTGTAACAGCCTAGAAAGCATCATTAGACTGCTGGCAATACCTTGAGACCTAGTGGGACGTGATCCTTGCCAAAAGAAAACTGAAAGCTAGATAGGGAAAGGTTAAATGCTCAGCCTCGAGGGCAATAAGTTAATATAATACACATCCTGGTGACAGAACTTGTTGAAGGACTTCCAGCTGTCTGGTCTGGGCCCTGGAGAACCAGTACAAGAGTAAGAAGGTAAGCGCGCTCACACCAAGGAAGGCTGAAAGGTTTGATAATATCTAATGAGCAAACCCAAAACTGATCCTCATGTGCCTACTCAACAAACCAGCTACTAATAAAGATGAAGTACACCTTTGTTACTGTCACATCTAATCAGTGTTGGTCACTGTCTTAGTCTGATGTTCAGAGCAGCGTACCAGCTCAGCATACCAATCCCCTGCTTTTCTTTGGCAGCGAAAGGCCACGCTGTGCTTTGTGCACGGGGTCACAGCTGGGGATAGAGTTACAATGAAGTTCCTGTCTTCAGCTTTGCTGACACTGGGGCTGATTTTCCTTCAGAGTGAAGAGGTGGGAATGTCTTCACATATGCAGCCTTCAGAGGAGGAGGGATAGAGTGAGCTTAGAGAGTGCTTTTAAAATGGGAAAAACACCTTCTCTTCCTAAACTGCAAAGTGGAACTGACTGATGTGAACCCTGGGTACAAGCCTGCAGTGCTGTGGAGCTCTGACCTTCATCTCTGTCACCATGCTGAGAACATTGGGAATTCAGGCAGCTGTGGGCAGGAGATGATGATCAGGCAGCTCAGGTTTTATATACAGCCCTATGAAGGTGGGGTTAGGATAGAAGTAGACAGGGTTTCGATCCACCTAGCAATGGACGGTAGTTGAAGGCAAGACTCAGCATTGCGGACTGCAGCATCTATAAGGCCTCTAGTCTGCTTGCTGTCTCTCTGCTGGGAGCATTACCCATGCTCCAGTGCCTGCACGATGCTGCTGGTCAACCTTAGGGCTGCTAGGAATGAGACTTCCCTGGGCCTGGGCCTGCCCGTCTGCAGCAAGACTGGGCAAGAAAGGTTTACCATTGCCTGGGGTAGCAAGTTTGGGCCATCATTTACTCCTTTTTCTTTCTACTGCTTTTCTTTCACAAGAATAAGGATGCAGTCCCCCCCACTGGGGGGTGGAAACTCTCATCTGTGGGTGACAGACACCCAGCCTGACTTTTGCTCTTGCAGTGCTTCAGCACGTTACACAGTCATTAGCCTCACATCAAGCCCTGAAACACATCTGGCCTTCACAGCAGACCTTGCTGAAAGGTGAAGGAGCTCAAAATGGCTCAAGCCAGAAGGAGGGAAAGCATCTAACCTGCTATGAAAGACCAGGAAACGGAAAGGAGTCCTGAAACTGTGCTTGGAGCAAAAGCCCACCTGTTCAGCAGACCATCTTTTCATGCCCTCCCTTAAAAGAGAAGGAGACACTCTGAACTGCTGCCAGGGTTCGGAGTATGGGCAAAAGTAACTAGCAGGCTAAATTCTTCGATCCTTGAAGTCGAGTATAAATTTCAGCTGTGTGATGGTAGCTTTCCATATTCACTGATTCACAACATGTCCTCATTTAATACTTCCCAAAAAGTTGCTGAAGCTGCAGGTATGCACCGTGCACACCGAGTGTGTTTGAGAGAATTTAGCAACATGCGATGTGGCTTTTATTGCCCTTACTGAAATGACAACACAGCTGCTTCCTGTAGATGACAAATATACTTCTTTCAGTCGGGGGTGAGGTTAGAAGAGGTGATTCAGAGACACTGGCCAACTCCACACACTTTGCAACATCTGGGCAAAGTCAAACAATTCAGCTGGACTTGGCTAAGAAGGGCTGTGCAGCTTGAGAGCGGCAGGAGGGGCAGCTCTGCCTTCTGCAGGGTGGTCGAGCCTAGACCCCAGTTCAACAGCTTCCTGCATCCCTGCAAACTTTTCATTTTGCTCCCTAAGAGCCAGATATGTTTTCAAGACTGGAACAATTCAGGATCCTTTCCTCCCTTGCAAGGGATCTGCATGTCAGTTTTCCCATGTACACATACCCATTTACAAAAGGGAGGTATTTAAAGTCTGCGACAGAGCCTGGATTTAATTAAGATGTCAGTACAATGAATCAAGCCAAAAGAAGAAATTGCCAGAACCTACAAATCTTTCCTCCCACTCCCCTTCAGCAAGAGGATACAATCTGTGGACTTACCGTGGCAGCCCCAGCCACATCACCCAGGAAGGTGACCACTCGCTGCTCTCTGAGGTGGCTTGCATGGCCTCAAGGGATGGCAGGCAGCCCTGCTCCTCCTGGGCTTCGCACGCTCTCATCTCCAGGGCTTTGAGCACCACCGACGAGTTGGTGTTTTTCAGCAGGGAGACGGCCTCACCCCGGCTGACCCCTGTCAGGTCGATCCCATTCACGTTCAGGAGGATGTCACCTGAGACCGATAAAACGGATGATAAAAACCCTGCAAGTGTTTCCAGAATCCCCACCCCCACAAACAAGCTAGTCAAAACCACAGCCAAGAATTTGCTGCCTGATGAGGCTGTTTGTTAATTCTATCGTTTAACATGGATGTGAAGCATATGCTAGAAAACATGCCACAGGCATGAGAGAAGGGGCTGGATCCCCACACACAGGAGCATCGCCAGGCTGGACGAAGGCTTTGGTCTTGGCTTGTTGTCATGTCACGTCCTGCATCTGGAGCCAAATGGCACAGCTGGGGTCCTGCTGTACCAACAAGCTTTGGTACAGGCACCTGATGATCGTCCAGGTCTCCAAAGCCCACTTACATCTAACAACGTTTGTAGTCAACCTGAGCTTGAAACCTGAAAGCTCAAAGGTGATTTTATTCCAGTGCTCCCTAAGCTGAGGACTGCCACTCCAGCTGACTCTTTGTAAAACTTTCTTTGCAGAATAACGTATTATTATTTTAATGTTAATGTCTGTTTGAATGGCCACAAGCCAAAACATCTTTCTGTATGCCTTATTTATAACGTAGGCACAACAGCTTTGCAGAAAAATGCAAAGATGACCTAAATTACTACAAAGAGAACAATAAAGACATCATTAATGTCATGCAAGTGGCCGTGGTGCCAAGCACTCTGCTACCCTCCATGTCACACTCCAGCGCTGGGGCTTCCCTGGGTGCCCTCTGCCCTTTGCCTGCATGCTCCTCCAGGCAGGTGCTGTGCTCAGCAGCAGTCCACGCAGTGCGACGTGAACATTAACCTCTCCTTGTGGTCTGCCCCGATGAGACAGACAGCAGCCCAAGGGCTGCTCAAAACCATGGAGGCGTGTGGAGCTGTTACAACGTCACATATTCATTTGTTTCTAATTTTATCAAATTAACTAGGCTGAATTTTCTATGCTGCCTCATGATGAACATTTTTTGGAAAATGCATCCCACTGAGAGGCAGTCATTTCCCAGCGGGAGGAAAGGGGAAACCTGCTGGTTTGCTCCTGTTGTCATGTTCTTACATGGGTTTTGATGAGCAGCCATAGCTCCTGCAAAGGGCAATGTGACCCCAGCCTCGTGGCACTCAGCTGGGCTCCAGGTATTCTGCCCCATTTCTCGGTGCCTCCACTTCCCTTGCACTCAGGATTTCCCTCCAGCTTCTGGGCAGCAACTGGGCTGAAGCTGAGCATAAGCGATGAAGGGCAAGGGGATGGGGAGCTGTATGGCTGGGCATGGAGGTATTTGGCTCTTGGAGATGTAACATCTTGAAAATTGAGAGTTTCACCATGCCTCTAGTGCCTACTTATTCCCACAAAACCCACTGATAAAATATGCTATTAATTTTACCACTCTGTTACATCAAGAGCCAAATGGAGTTATGAAGCCAATGTTTCCAGACGTGATATTGAGCCACAAGGCCATAACATTGCTTCATATATACTGGGAATTCTGCTCTGCTATATTTCTTTCAAAGCCATGAACAATATGACAAACAAGCACAAAAATTTACCCTAAAAACCCATGAAGGTTGCACAATGAAGATATCAGTAGTTAGGAGATGCTGGTGCAAGCTCAGTTTCCTGTGAAACACTATTTTTTTTTTTTCCTATCCGAATATGCCTACGTCCCACTTCACAGAGATGGTTACTGCTGCATATGATACCTTTTCTGGTAGCTGACTTGAGACCCTCTAATCTGATGCATCCCAAAATCTATGGGATGGCTGAAGACGTCAGGATGTGATACTCTTTCACTACCCCTGTGTTTTCCAAAAAAAAGCCTTTGAACTAAAGTAGGCTTTCGAAGTCTCCTGTTTTTACCTGTTTTTATCCTGCTGTCTCTGCTGATAACTCCTCCAGGTTCAACACTTATCACATAGATAGGCAAATCCCACTCCCGGTTAGATGCTCCTCCTGCAACAGTCATTCCCAGCGATTCTGTGTGATCTTTCTGGACAGCCACCACCTTCTCATGACAGGTGACGGTGTGAAGGGTGCTCTGTGATGGTGAAAACAGCAACAACAAACACAGTGGGCATGGGGACCTCCCTGGCACCTTAGGCATTTTCTTCTAAAATGAATATTTGCTGAGAGAATACCAAAGCACTTCACAGCCACCTGCCATGGCTGCCCAGATGGCAGGCATGACTCTCTCCAGGGCTTAAGCATCTGTGCAGTTAGAGCTACCGCCAAGGTAATCCATGCTTTAATAGTTAAAGTCAGGGACTGCTCCCACCAAAATCAGAAGTGTTTTAGTGTTGAGACTAATAGAAGCAGGTCTTTGAAACATAAATAAGAAATCTGATTTAAAAAAAAAAAAAAAAAAAAGTTCTTGATGTTAATATCACTAGTGGTCATCATGTCTTTGACTCTGAGGTCATGGTTCTTATCTTGCTGCTTACAGTCTGAACGTCATCTATATAACATTTAATGAGAAATGGTCCACCTGGGTTCACAGAATCATAGAATGGTTTGGGTT